TGTATTTAATTTGTAATCAAAGTGTTACATAGTTTTACCAAAAAAAAGTCCAACTATTATAATCTTAATTAATAGACACGTGAACACATCCCTAGCCCGCGCAAACAGGGGCGGACCCACGTTGAGTCATACGGGGTCAAGCGACCCCACGAAAATTTTAAATTTTTTTACCTATATATATAATTTTTTTAGGTGTATTTGTATAGTTAGTATATATTTCATAAAAGGCTAAATGAAAGAACGGGGACATGTTGAAGGAGTGGAAAGCTTCGCGTTTGAGCAATGTTGACTGCCTGAGCGACCCAGGTTCAATCCTTAGTGTAGGCGATTTATCCCAAACTCAAAAACAATCTTCAATTTTCCCCTTTGCTGTTTTTTTGACATAATTCGTTGCTTTAATTTTCTATGTTTTTTTACATAATTTAATCTAAACTAAATATTTCTTTTTATATTTGTGAATTGTGAATATTATAATTTATTCTTATGAATTTGTTATTGTGAATAGCGAATTGAATTTGTTATTTTATTTTGTAAGATTGTGATTTGTAAATATGTTAAAATAATTAGATTATTTTTTAAATTTATAATGTTTTTAATTATTTAAATTTCAATATAGGATGCAAAGATGTATTTAAAAGGCACCAATTATTTAACTTTTTAATGCTTTATCCGTTTCATTTAAAAATCTATAGTAAAGTTTATGTTTATGGAGTGTTTCAATTTTCTTAAGTACTTCAAAAATTGTGTACCTCCTTTCGTATTAAACTATTAATCAACATAACTATTTTTTATTTGTCTATTCTCTTCTATATCAAACAAACTTATAAACTTTACACTTTACTTATTTATAGAAAAAAATATGTAGTTGATATTATTCCTATTTTCTTAAAATAAATTCTTATTATATATCATTCACTTTTTAATGATTCATCCATCTCATTTAAAATTTTATAGTAAATTTTGAATGTCAATTTTAAACTTTTTTATTACATGTTAATACCATAAAGTTATTTTTAAGAATATTTTCAAATATGAATCTTATTTTACTTACGACCCAACAAATGATATACTGTCTCAAATTTTTAAATATATGATCGACCCCGTGGTAAAAAATCCTGGGTCCGCCCCTGCGTGCAAAGCACGGGGTAGAAAACTAGTACCTTTGTAAAGAGGAGACGAGGAGGAGGAGGAGAGACAACTGGATGAAGAGATGCGTAAAGATGAAATAGTCGGAAAAAATAGTCATAAAGAGAAAACTGATGTTATGTAGGGGTGTAAAAAGATATTAATCGGATCAGATGTGCCATTATCCAATTTACATCCGTTTAATTGTACAAGATATCGAATTCGAATACAGATCTTGACGAATGCTGAAAATCAAAACCGTATTTGCATCAGTCGGATATCGATCAGATATCGAATATATTCGTATCCACTTTTAATTTTTCAAATCCAAATTTAAGAACAAGAGTATGCAAATAGTTTTAACTAGTATCAACCCTGTGCTTCGCACGGACTCACATATATTCTAAGTTTTAATATATAGAATATAAAATATTGTTTATTTTTTTTATCGAAATGGAGAAGTAACAACCCAGAACCTCAGGAAAGGTTCCTCACTATCACACACCTAGGCCAATAGTACCCTAGCTTATCCTCCTCTAGCAATTGATGTGAACCATTCGGTGGGGACTCTAACTCTCTCCAATCCAATGCTATGTCCTTTCCCATTCTGGCAAGTAAGTCTGCAACTTTGTTCTGACCCCTTAAAATATGACAGATGGTAGCATTCCAATCTCTTCCCATCCAACTCAAACATGCCTCGATTACTTCGCATGTCGGACCTCTTGTAGTGTGTCTACCATGAATCCATTCAACACACTCTCTAATGAATCACATTGGAGAATCAACTTTCGCAAACCTTTCTTCCATGCCCACCTTAGCCCCTGCAACACAGCCCCACACTTCGACTACTGTTGGATGATTAGTATTGCATGAACATATAAAGCCTCCTATCCAGTTGCCATCATGTCCTCGAAACACTCCTCCGCAGCCAGCGCATGTACCATCAACACTCCCATCCATATTCAAACAAAAAGTGCCATTGTCTGGTTTTAGCCAACGAACTTGTATCATGCATTCTTCATCTTGTGAGTTGTCAATAATACTCTGAATATGAAAAGCTCTCAAGATATCATCTTTTTGATTAATACTTTGTATCTCTTTTGAAGGTAAAGTTTTAATTTTAATATAATATTGATGTACATGCATTAAAATTTGAAATATTTGCACTAAATAGCACTAAAACTTAAGTCATTTCTCTGAATAGCACTTAAATTGTTTTATTCCCTAAATAACACTTAATAATGTCTATAATGACCTATGATGGCAAATATTTACTTGAGTAATGACTAATGGATAATGACTAAAAGTGCTATATTAGAAAAAAAGCACATGTAGTGTTATTTAATTAGGGAAAGTCATTATGTTTTAGTGCTATTTACATAAATTTCTCTTAAAATTTATATAAATCTTTATTTTGATATGTAATAACAAGGAAAATGATGAATAGTTTATTAAAAATCACACCACTCTTTCTTTTTTAAGGGATTAAAAAAGTTTATAAAATCTTTTTTAGATAAACACTAATTATGTACAAAATATATTTTTAAATGGTGTAACACATAAACTCTAAAATGAATACAAACATTGAATAAAATATATTAAGATTTTTAATCTACATACTCCATTCGTTTCAAAAAGATTATCATAGTTTAATTTTTTTGGTAAAATTATCAAACACTTTGATTACAAATTAAATATAATTTTCAATAATTAAATGTCATAAACATTTGATATATGAACACAATATTTTAAATGGACACATTTTTTCTAAATTTATATTATAACGAAATATAATATACTTTTTACACACTTTGTGGTCAAAGTATAGAGCAACTTGACAAGAAATATCAAATTGTGATAACTTTTTTTGGAGGAAGAAGTAAAATATTTCAAAGGGCTTATTATCAAATGAAACAATAATGAGATTTGATTCAGCCAATGGAAATAAAATAAAAATGCCAAAGAAATCAATCAAGTAATGAAAATTGCATAAGTGGTATATAGCCTATATGTCATGTGTAATCCTTCAACAAAAACAAATTTATTTAATTTAATTTGTTGAAATAATATATCAGAAATTAAGTAATGATACAAATAAAACATTTTAAAATAAAATATATCATTCTGGCTCATATAAATTCTCTTTCATTTACACAAACAACCACCAACATTCGAATTTATTAAAAATTATGCAAAGTCAAACTCGTAAGAAAGTTCTACGACGGAGGGAGTATATGACATGCAACATTGCAACATATATCATCTTTCAACTCTAACTTTGCTTTATTTAGTTTGTTGAAAAAATATACATTGTATCCTAAAATATACTTAGTATGTAATAAGATACAAATTTTGAAATAAATCTAGCATTTAATAAATATATATGTGATAAAAAATTATAATACTATTTTGAAAATTGTTTGAGTTAATAAAAATTAAAATAAATATGTCGTTTTCAAAAAAAAATCAATAAATATGTCAAATAGATCAATTAAGTACTGACACATCATTAGAGAATGTATATTTTTCATGTGCCAAATGTAATTCTTTAATTAAACATTCACTTTGTTTAGCTAGTTGAATGAATATATAATCAAGATGCACGTGTGAAGAAATTTATATATAATAGTTCTTTTGAGATGGTGGATAATTTTAAAAATTATACGCAACATTGTTTTTTAATATATAAATCTTATATAAATTTTTAAAAATATAAAATAGTCGTGCATATTTAAAAAGGAGGAAAACCAAAATAGCACTCTTAGAGCCTTAAGATACTCTAAATAGCAGTGCTATATGTTTCGTGTCTGTGATTTTGATTTTGTCTTTTAATTAAACAGTAAATATTCATTACACACTGCCTAAAAATATGACTGTTTTGGATAGTGTGGTTGTTTACTTGTAACTGTATAGTGGGTAGTGTGGTTTTTTATATGAGAGTATTTAATGTGCCAGTTTAGAATTGATATATGTTATTATATCTTACAGCAGTGTATACGTGTATTATTGTGTTCCTTAATTTCATGTTAGAGCGTATTGTCTATTGATTTATGTGGCAGTGCTTTCATGTTTAAATTCTACACTGTTAAAAAGTGTATGACTATTTTCATGTATGAATTTCACACTGCCCAAAAAATGAATAACTCTTTTCATTGATGAATTCCACAGTATTTTTATGTATAAATTCCACACTACCAAAAATGTGTATGACTGATTTTATGAATAATCTATTACACCAAAACACACCTGACCAAACATGGGCGTTAAATATGGAACTTAACTTAACACGTACGAACATGTTTAGGCATTATACATTGGTAAACTGCGTAGGAAAAGGATCACGCAGAGCTATGGTAAACGGCGTAGAATGATATTCTCGCACGTATGGGACGCACGAATGAGGAGGAGCCGCACGTATGAGGAGGAGTGAATACGTGAATAAGCTAAGTTTAATCAAATAATTAAAAGTAATTAAAAATAGTAGAATATAATAAAAGGTAGAGGGTATGCTTAATAGATATTGACATTATAAATAGCTAAATTTGTATAAAAAAATTAAGGAGTGATATATGCATAATATTGAGTGACTAAAGTGCTACATAGGGTGATTTCTTTATTTAAAAAATATGTTAAAACAATGAAACATATTTCTAAAAAAATTAGATAGTGAAAACTTTATAAAAAGTATATAAAAGAATGGTTATTTATTGTTGGAAAGTGAAGGATTAAAAAAAGAATTAATATTGGTACTTTTGTCTGATTCGTGTTAGTAGTATGCACACGTGGCTGCCACATGAACTAATATTGGCCACACCACAGGACAAGTGTCAACACTATAACTATAAAACTCTCTTTTACATATACGTATAGGATATGATATAGGATATAGGATATGCAATATGGAATATGATTATTTAACATTAGGACTGTAAGTGCAGATAGTTTTAATATGGAATATCATTATTGAATATAGACTATCTATTTACAGCCTTAGGGTCCATTTGGTACACGGAATTGACGGAATTAGAATTGAGTTGGAATTAAAAATCTATGGAATTGAGTTCAATGGAATTAAGATCTCCAATTCTAATTCATTTTATGTACTACTAATTCCAAATTGACATATCTTTGTGCTACCAAACACCATAATTGGAATTGAAATCCTTAATTCTAATTTCACGACTTGAATTTCATGTACCAAACAAAGTCTTAGGCCCTGTTTGGTACACGGAATTCAAACTATGAAATTGGAATTGAGGACTTTAATTCAAATTCTGATCTTTGGTAGCACAAAAATTATGTGGATTTGGAATTGATAGTGCAAAAATTGAATTGGAATGGTAAATTCAATTCTATTGAATTGAATCCAATGGAATTTTAATTCCAATTCAAATCCAATTCCATCAATTCCGTATACCAAACGGGCCCTTAGGCCATGTTTGGTGCACGAAATTCATACTATGAAATTGTAATTAAGGACTTCAATTCAAATTCTGGTGTTTGGTAGCACAAAAATTATGTGGATTTGAAATTGATAGTACAGAAAATGAATTGGAAATGGTGAATTTAATTATATGGAATTGAATCTCATAAAATTTTAATTTCAATTCAATTCCAATTCTATCAATTCCGTATACCAAATAGACCCTTAGGCCCTGTTTGGTACACAAAATTCAAACTATGGAATTGGAATTGAGGACTTTAATTCCAATTTTGGTGTTTGGTAACACAAAAAAATGTGGATTTGGAATTGATAGTGCAAAAAATGAATTGGTATTGGTGAAATCAATTCTGTGGAATTGAATCCCATGGAATTTCAATTCTAATTCAATTCCAATTCCATTAATTCCATATACTAAACGGACCCTTAGGGTCCGTTTGGTATATGGAATTGTCGGAATTGGAATTGAATTAGAAATTAAAATTCTATGGAATTGATTTTGATGGAATTGGATTCTCTGAATTCCAATTCATTTTTGGCGCTACCAATTCAAAATTTGCATTTTTTTGTGCTACCAAATAGCAAAATTGGAATCGTTTTCCTCAATTCCAATTCCATAATTTGAATTCCGTGTACCAAACGAAGCCTTAGTGTTTTGGATATATTTCTTAGATTTCTTCATTTTTTCAAGAAAACCTATTAACAGGCCTTACTTCCTGGCGACTAGTTCCAATCCACAACCCACAGCCCCGTGAAACTGGGACCCATATCACCGGCGTATAGTGTCCGGCCGTTCGACCTCGCATCCGGTCAACCACGAGCCACGTTAGGCGTGTCTTACACGCGGTTTCTCCTTAGCTCTGGAGTGCCAAGTTATTGCACACCTGCGCAGCAATGGAGGCATCTGTGAATCGGAAGGAGAAGAGGAAAGAAGCGAAGAAGAATAAGAGGAAGCAGAGGAGGAAGGAGGTGGCTGAGAAGTTGCGGGCGGAGGAGGAGGCGAGCCTTGCCGATCCGGAGGAACAGCGCAGGATTCAACTCGAGGAGGAGGAAGAGAAGCAGCGGCAAGAGAGAGTTAGGAAGGAGTTTGAGGAGAGAGAGAGGCTATTTCTCGAGGAATTAGCTCGCAGAAAAGCACTGGAGGAAGAAGAAGAACGGATAAGAGCTATTGAAGAAGAAGCAGAAGAAGAGAGGCGGAAACAAAACCAGGTTTTCACATTTAGCCTCAGAAATTCCATACCATGATGAGCCCATTTCATGCACTTATGCGCGTAGTATTATATACATATATTATATATGGAATATCCTCATATATGCTCATATGTTCATATTGAATTTATGGTGCCTTCAATAGGCTGACTGTGAAATCGAAGAAAATTGTGATGAAGAATGGGAATATGTAGAAGATGGCCCTCCTGAAATTATATGGCAAGGGAACGAGATTATTGTTAAAAAGAACAGAGTTCGAGTGAAGAAGAAAGCTGGGGAACATCTGGCAATCAAAGAGGTAGTAATTGCTGATTTACTTTCTGAGTTTCAGGTGTTTAGTTTGTTGCCATCTACCTGTGGGATACTGATCTGATTTTCCCCTTTTTTCAATATAATTTGTAGGATCCCTCTAGGCCAACATCAAATCCTTTACCTCCAGAGTCTGATGAACACAATAATACTTCTACAATTTCAGCACAAGAACTTTTGGAAGATGTTGCGCAACAAACTCCAAATTTTGGGACAGAACAAGTAGGTTTTCATTGCTACTATATAAGCACTTTCTCCGCAGATTGTACATTAGTTCCATTAAATGATATTATCTGTAAGTTCTGATGCATTTCCCATTCTGATAATAACTTCTTTTACTTTCCCTTTCACGTCTCTCATCACATGGTTGCTCGCATTTCAGGATAAAGCTCATTGTCCTTTCCACATCAAAACGGGCGCTTGTCGGTTTGGGTCACGTTGCAGCCGGATTCACTTTTATCCTGACAAATCCTGCACCATACTTATAAAAAACATGTACAATGGACCTGGCCTTGTCTTGGAGCAAGATGAGGGGCTTGAGGTCTGTTATGACGTCTTCATGTGGCTCAAGTATCCTGATGCTCACTTTCCTTCAGTGTCTTTCACGTACAATACGTAAAACAAAGTTTCTTCTACATCGAATGGAAATTACACATGTTTTTTTCGTTCTGTGTGCTTTGAACATGTACTGGTAGTCGTTTGTGTGCTGGGTTATACTGATCTTTCTGTAATCCTTCTGCATTCTAATATATTCTGGTTTTGCTTCCCAAAATCAGAGGCATATGCCATATGCACATACATATAAAACGGGAAGCAAAGTTGCTGCTGGTTTGGAGGGCCATGCACTGTATCTTCTGTTGATTGGGAAGATCAGTTCCATCCAAGTTTGAATTGCATGCCGATAGTAGCACAATGCTTACCCCTTCCTTGAAGCAGTAACTTTGCTTCCATACACACAGCAACTTCAATTATCATTATAGTGTTTACATTGATGGAATGGATTTCGCGTAACAGCTGGTTCCTTATATCAACCTTTCAAAAAGTTAAGAATCACCTATTTTTTTTATTTTGGAGTATCCTTTAACTTTTTTTTAGAACCGAACTACTGGTCTGAAACGATGGAGATACAGGATTCTCGCTATGGTTTGGTTGAAGACAAAAAAGTTCTGTATCCTACTTGCAGCATTATTGAGTGTTTAGAAGTTTCATAAATTTGCTTGGTGTAGTTATTTGTCTACGCTTTATGATTTAAGATTTCCTACTTTCTGTTTTGCACGGCATATGCTTATACAGACACTCTTAACTACTTTTCTATCCAGTGCACAGATGAGGAAGTTGAACATAGTTATGAAGAATTTTATGAGGATGTGCATACTGAATTTTTGAAGTTTGGAGAGATAGTTAATTTTAAGGTATGCTAAGTAGATAAGTGCTTGTTATCACAAACTTATGAAGACTGTTAATGTTCCGTGTAATTCACTTTAACGAATCATATCAAACTCTCTTCATACCAATGTGCTTGTCTGCTTTCTTTTTGGTACATGGTCCAAGGAAAATGAATAAGAGCAAGAAATGATTAATATACACTTATTTTTAGGTAACATACTTATCTTGTGTTTGTCCAAACTGCTGCCATTTCTTGTCTTCCTTTTGTTTTGAATTCGAGCTAAATACTCCCTTTTCCTTACTGCCTCACTACCTTGACCCTCCAAGAATCTGTCTTACTCATCAGACAAAGAACAGAGGGTTTTCATCAACAGTGTAAAGGAGATCACTTTAAACAAAGGCCCGCGGAGGGCTGCGGTTCAACCCATCCACTTTACCAGTGCGCAGAGTTAGTCTAACTCTTCTGATTCTCATCCCTTATGATTTACCAGTATGGCGTCCATCTTCAGTCCATCACGCTGGAGTTGGTGCCGAGCGCTGCCAGATGTGAGGCAGTGCTGCTGCTGTCCATCCACCGCCATCCCTTTTCATGTTCGAAGAAGAAACAAGAAAGTCACCAGTCTTTTATTGTATTGCGTTTTGCTTTGAGCTGGGGGCTAATACTTTTGGTCAAAATGACACATTTTCCGCAAAAATAGAAAGTGAACAAATACAATGCGTCTGGCCAAAAAAAGAAACATGGACAAACACATTGGGATGAAGGGAGTAGCTTTAAAGCAAGTTTTCTTGACATGCTCAGGACAATATAAGTTTTGCTACAATATAAACCACTTGTAAATTGATGGATTTGGATGTGTTAACATGCCCTCGAGAAGCTGTTGGTATCAAAGTATCAAACTATAATCCAGATGTTTAACAGTCTACTTTTCGTTTAGGTATGCAAAAACAGCTCATCCCATTTGCGGGGGAATGTCTACATACACTATAAATCATTGGATTCTGCTATGCTTGCTTATCGGTCTACAAATGGGCGTTATTTTGCTGGAAAACAGGTAGATGCCTTACTTATTTAAAGGTAGCCGGATGCTTTATCGTGGATATAGCTTTTGCTTTACCACTTATCCACATACACTAATCGGAAAAGTCTGCTAGTGTATTGCTCTCTCTGGCTAACATCATGTCTAATGTATTGTTCAGTTATTTCTATATTCTGGCATCGGAAAGGTCAAATGTCACACAATGTAGCATGCTCATTCACCTCAGTGTTGATTAGTGGATGTGTATGTGTATGTGTATTACGAGTGCAAATGTAGATTAGCATGAGCTGTAAAAATCACGTATACTATCATGTAAAGTTTTGTTGGCTATCAATTATCATTTTTAATACCATTATTATTAATTAATGGTATGTCTCTCTACAGATTACATGTGAATTTGTTAGCGTGACAAAATGGAAGGTTGCCATATGTGGAGAGTTTATGAGATCAAAGCTCGTGGTAAGATCCAATCTCCTTACCCTAAACATGTATTTTCATTTCCTCTAGTGCCATTTTAGTTTGATGGTTCTGCAGAGTCTGTGCTCCTTGTCTTATTCTTTACCCTGTTACGGTGTTACACTGTTACCCACCCTTCACATAACTTAAGGGTTTATGTCATGACAGACATGCTCTCGTGGAACAGCTTGCAATTTTATCCATTGTTTCAGAAATCCTGGCGGAGATTATGAATGGGCAAATTGGGATAAGCCACCCCCAAAGTATTGGATTAAAGAGATGAGTGCCTTGTTTGGCTACTCATATGATGAGTCGATCTATGACAGGAAAGTTGAAGAAGATTTTGAGCATTCAGCTGATGTATACAGGTCTGTTGATTCTATTTCTGTATCTCAGTTATTTGACCTTACAACCCATGTTTTTTTTCTTTGACTGCACCCGAGTGGGTTGCAAAGTTAAATATTAGGGCAAACATTTACCTTTTCTTCCCATGTTTACCTTTATACTCCGTATTTGATTTCGCACCCCACTTGGGATGCAAATTCGATCAAAGAAAATCAAACATGGGGTGTCATTATGTCATTTCAAAAAATAGTGAGCAAAGTCAAACATTGAGGTAAACATGGGGTGAAATTCCATTTTTTGTTACACTTTGCACCCCATGTTTTACCACAATATTTGACTTTGCACCTCCCTCACAGTGCAAACTAACAAAACATGTGCAATATCAAATAATGCGGTAAACTTGGTGTGCAAATACTAAATTCCCCATGCTTTTATTAAAAAATGAACCCCCCAACCCTGCTGCCTAGGAGCTAAACTGCAGTTCACCCCCCCCACCAGCACCACCACCAGTGTCTTGCTCGTTTTAGAGCACCATGTGTTTGTTGTATTTAAATGTTTCATCTACTCTACTGATTTTACATTTGATAGGCAACACTCCGAAAGATACCATGGACGAGAGAGCCGAAGGTCTCGGTCAAGGGAGAATAAGAGTTTGAGAAGCCACGATAAGGAACACGATGCTCGAAGGAGAGAACAAAGAAGCCAACCCAATTGTCATGTTGGGGAAAGATGTGAAGAAGACGAAAATTCCAGAAGTTACAAGCATCATCATCGTCATAAAAGCAGCTCTTATGATGGTGAACCTGACAGATATTGTTCTGGTGACAGGGATGGGCTCAACCACAGTGAGGCTACCCGTAAAAGATCAAGACACACCCTATCTGAAAAAACTCAAACTAAAGTGTTCAGGAGTAGCAGCAGCAGCGATTCTGAACAAACACAATCTAAAGATCATCATGATAATATTGTATACAGCAAAAGGAGAAGAGTGGAAAGGCAGGATGAGGAGAAAAATACGGATGATTGTCGGGATAAGAGGAAGGATAGCCGCCACCGAGCAACCAAGAGGAGATCTTCAAGGTATTTGAGTGATGATAATAGCTCACTCAATGATGCTAAAAGAAGTGATGATGATTTTGGTTCTGATTGTGGATACGAGAGCCGAAGTTCTGGTGGAACAAGACACCACTCTACTGGTGAAAAGGCTGACGAAACAGTGCGGTGGGAGCCCGAGAAAGAAGTCACTGGAGACTACCATGGGAAACATTTGGAATCTGGCAAGAAGAGTCACAGAAGTCACCATCGCAGCAGAAACCATAAAGGCAAGTCTTAATCTTTTTTTTTTAACACAGGCAAGTGTTAATCTATTCACAAGTCCTTTGTAGTACTGGGGTTAGTGTCTTGATTTGTCACTATGAATTAAAGAATTAGGTCTGATATGCTGGAGATATATAGAGCATCAGTAATACATACTATATCATTTCACCTTCATGAACAAATCATTCCTTTCCTAGACTACCAGAGCTGCAAACTCTTTTTTTTTTACTTTACGAAACTTGTGCTAGAGGGTCTCATAGATATTAATCCATTACACTCAAAAGCTAATACTCAATCCTTCTTTGATGTATTCGTTCGGTTTCATTTTTCATGAATTTACTCTGTAAATGGATAACTCGACTATTGTCCGCATCTGAATTCGTTTACATGAAAAATATCCACATCTGTTAGCATATATAGTTAAATTTACATATTTGTATATTATTTCCATGTATGTATCTTTCCTTGTAAGTAATCGGGCTTGGCCCAACGTAGCCTCAAACCTACATGTATTTATACGTTGTGCATACTCAATGAAAAGGCATTCAGTCTTTTACAAACTTCTACATGGTATCGGAGCCAATTTCCTGGGATTTGTTTAAACCCTAGGCTCGTTTTTTTCGTTCCGTCGCCGGCACTACTTCGACCGGCTCACGACGATCGCTGATCGGCTCGCGTTGGTCTCCTCCACGACGCCGGCTCACGTCGGATACATCGCCGGTGCCTCACGTCACCATGGCAGCCGAAACACCAAAGAAGGTACGTCTCATCCACGATCCAACGTCACCCTATTACATTCATCCGTCGGAAAGCGCGGGTAATTCTCTGTCGAAACATCTTCTTAAGGGTGATAATTATGATATTTGGGAGAAAACTATTGTGAACGCTCTTAAGGGGCGAAGTCGAGCAGGTTTTTTGATTCCTTCTGGGTTTCCAAAGCTTATGATGAACAGGAACTTGCAGCATGGAAAGCCAATAATTCTATCATTTGTTCTTGGATCTGTAACAGTGTTGATGAACATATTCAACCGTCTATTATTTCTCATAAGGTTGTTCATGAATTGTGGTTGGATTTGAAGACTCGGTATGGGGGATCCAATGGTCCTCGTGTGCATTAATTAAAATCTGAGTTTCAATCCCTGCGTCAAAAAGGTCAAATTGTGGTTGGTTATTATAATCAATTTGTGACTTTGTGGAACAAATTATATGGTTCTGTTGATCCCACCTGCGGCTGTCGCTGTGAAGTCGTGGCTTTGATCCGTGCTCGGGAAAAACAGGAGAAAACTCACCATTTTTTGCTTGGCCTAGACGATGAACAGTTTGGTCACATCCGTTCTCAGATCATCGCTACCGAACCTGTTCTGGATATACACTGGGCGTATGCATTGATTGTCCAAGAAGAACGACACAAAAGTATCGTCCGTGGTTGGGATGACCGCACGGACGCAGTAGCCTTTGCCATGCAGCGCCCTACACCTTCCGCGGGCCGTGGTACCCGCCTCACTACTCTTGTACTCACTTTGGCAAGGACGGACATTCGGTGGATCGATGCTATCAATTACATGGGTACCCCCTGGGGAAGGGCTGGGCCCGTGGCAGTGCACCCAACCGTGGAGGACGGAGTGGCGGCCGTGGCATGTCGGGCGGCAGTGGTGCTCCTGGCCGTGGGTCTGGAACGGCGACAGGGGGAGCAAACTCGGCTACAAATTCCAACGCCCTCGGTCTCACACCCGACCAAATGACACGCCTGCTTTCCATGCTTGATACTTCTTCATCTGACAAAGCTTCTGGCCCTAGCAGTGATTCTTCTTCTCGTGAATGGCTTATTGATAGCGGCGCTTCACATCACATGACCGGTAATATCTCATATTTGTCTAATATGGTTTCTATGAGCCCTTGCGTCATCACTTTACCCAATGGCACGCGCACTACCGCCACTCAATGTGGTCACGTGCGACTCTCGGCCGAGGTGGTCCTTCGGGACGTTTTGCTTGTCCCTCACAGTGCAATCTTATTTCTGTTGGTTGCCTTATTCGGGATACATCCTGTTTTGTAATTTTTAACAACAATTGTTGTGTAATACATGATTGTGCAACGAAGATGGAGATTGGACGAGGTGATGCATGATACGGAATCTTCCTGTTTCGTCCTTCCTCTACCGCGGCCGCGGCCCAAGTGGACCCTATTCTTCTTCATAAACGCTTGGGTCATCTGTCTACTCAAGTTTTGTCGTCTCTTATTCCTTCTGCTAGTAGCTCTAAAATTAAACTGTTGCAGTCTTGTGAAATTTGTTTTCAATCCAAACAAGTTCGTAGGTCTTTTCCAATCAGTTCCAATAAAGCTACTAGTGTTTTTGATTTAATTCATTGTGATTTATGGAGACCATACACCCCTTGCTTAGCTACTGGTGCTCATTATTTTCTCACTATTGTGGATGATCATTCCCGAGCCGTTTGGGCTTATTTGATTATTGATAAATCTGAAGTGCCTAGTTGCTTGAAACATATTTTTGCCATGATTCAGACCCAATTCCATAAAATCATCAAAATTGTTCGTTCTGATAATGGGACTGAATTTGTAAATCAGGATCTTCAGACATATTATGCGTCCTTAGGTGTTCTTATTCAAACCTCTTGTGTTGGTACCCCCCCCCCCAACAAAATGGTCCGGTGGAACGTAAGCACAGGCACATTTTAAACGTCGCTCAATCACTCATGTTTCAAGCCCATTTACCTATTGAATTTTGGGGGAAATGTGTTCGTACAGCTGTGTATCTAATTAACCGGACTCCCAACAAACTCCTCGGTGGAAAATCACCTTTTGAGATCCTCAATAACAAAGCACCTGATCTTAGTCATCTCAAAATTTTTGGGTGTTTGTGTTTTATTCGTCTGAAAACTTCTAACAAATTTTCTCCTCGCAGCACCAAGTGTATGTTTGTTGGGTACCCCTCTGGCACTAAAGGTTGGCGTGTGTATGACCTTGACTCTCACCGTTTTTTTCACACTCGGGACGTGGCTTTTGACGAGAGCCAATTCCCGTTTGCCATACAACACATGCCGGCCGAACCTACCACCCCCACTCCACTGGCCGATTTTCCCGAAATACCCCTGCCCGATCCCCCTCTGGTATTGCCGACCAGCCATTCGGCGGCACACACTCCAGTCGCACACACCGCCGAACTGGAGACAGAGGGTGACCAGCCGTCCGTCAACCCCTCTCCTTCCCAAACAGCCGCTGTTCCCCTTTTTCGTCCTTAACGGCAGAGTCGTCCGCTTTCCCACCTTAGTGATTATATCGTCAATTTTGTTCAATCTCATGTCCCGTTGTGTTCATCTCCTCCCCGGTCTTCGTCTTTAGGTACGTGCTATCCTATTGCCAACTTTGTTTGTTTGTTCCTAGAAATTATTCTGAAGCTGCTCCTCATGCCACCTGGCGGGAAGCTATGCAAGCGGAACTTCAAGCTCTCGAGAATACCACACTTGGGATATTACTGAGCTACCACCTGACCGGACGGCTTTGGGATGTCAATGGGTTTTTAAAACCAAATTCAATTCTGATGGTTCTAAGGAACGGGACAAAGCACGCCTAGTTGTGCTTAGCAATCATCAGACATTGGGGGTTGATTACACAGATACTTTCGCCCCGGTAGCAAAAATGGGTTCTGTTCGGGTCTTGCTCTCCGTTGCCGCGGCCAAGGGTTGGCAAGTGCATCAACTTGACGTCAACAACGCTTTCCTCCATGGTGATCTGGTTGAGGAAGTGCATATGCGTTTGCCACCTGGTTATGCACACCTTCATCCAGGAAAGGTTTGTCGTCTGCGTAAGTCTCAGTACGGTTATGCCAATCACCCCGCAATTGGTTTGCTAAACTTACCTGTGCCCTCCGACGATACGGGTTTCGTTAGGCCCATGCTGATCATACTTTGTTTATTCACCGCTGCGGTTCTGATATTCTGATTGTCTTGGTTTACGTTGATGACATTTTGGTTGCAGGTAATAACTCCACCTTGTGTGCCTCTTTCAAATCCTATTTGCACAGGTGTTTTCGGCTCAAGGATTTGGGGCCCTTATCCTATTTTTTGGACATTGAGTGTGCTCAGTCAGCAGCTAGGATTGTTCTGTGCCAACACAAATATGCGTTGGATATCCTTCACGAGGCCGGTCTATTAGGGTGTAAGCCAGCGGACACCCCCATCACACCGAACCATGGTCTGGCTCGTTCCACTAGCGTAGAGTTACGGGATCCAGGTCAATATCGACGTCTTGTGGGTCGCTTGATATATCTTACTATCACTCGGCTAGATCTATCTTATTCGGTTCATGTTCTATCTCAGCTTATGCATGCCCCACGACTTGATCATATGGATGCTGCCAAGCGTGTTCTTCGCTATTTGAAGGGTCATCCAGGACAGGGAATTCTTCTACGTAGTGATAGTTCTCTTCAACTGGCTGCTTATTGTGACTCCGACTGGTTCTCTTGTCCTCTTACTCGCAGGTCTGTTAGTGGTTATTTTATTCATTTGGGTGGCTCTCCTGTCTCCTGGAAAACAAAGAAACAAACTACCATGTCACGTTCCTCCGCCAAAGCTGAATATCATGCAATGGCTAACGCTTGTGCAGAGGTCCGGTGGATTCGGGGCCTTCTTGGTGCGCTTGGTGTTACTCCACCAACCACGCCCCGCTTATTTTGTGATAACAAATCTGCTTTGTTTATTGCTGCTAATCCTGTTTTCCATGAGCGCATGAAGCATATCGACATTGATTGCCATATCGTCCGTGAGTGCGTTCATCGCCGAGAGATCACCACAGCTTCTGTTCCTACTCGCCTGCAGCTAGCTGATCTGTTCACCAAAGCTCTGAACAGACCTTTATTTTCTTTCTTGCTCTCCAAGTTGGGCATTTGTGATCTCCATGCTCCAACTTGAGGGGGAGTGTTAGCATATATAGTTAAATTTACATATTTGTATATTATTTCCATGTATGTATCTTTCTTTATAAGTAATCGGGCCTGGCCCAATGTAGCCTCAAACCTACTTGTATTTATACGTTGTGCATACTCAATGAAAAGGCATTCAGTCTCTTACAAACTTCTACAACATCCAGTAAAAGCGGTTATTATCCGTATCTGATTAAGAACATCCGATTGATACACGGATATGGATTTGGTAATCATACATTCGATTGTTTATAATCGGCTCTACATAGACATCCGTTTGAGTTATCGTTTATTCGTGTACATGATCATACGTTCGATTGTTTATAATCGGCTCTACATAGACATCCGTTTGAGTTATCGTTTATTCGTGTACATGATCCATTTTTATAGTTTTTCTCAATTTTTTATGTTTATATTTTGTTTTTCAATTGACATATCTAAGTATAAGACATTTTTTATGCAAAATATGTGTAGACACAAAAATATGTGTGTATGTATATATCTTTTTACCATATAAAGTTGTCGTAAAATATTACTCCGTAACAAAATACAATTGAATGAATAGAAATTTGACTTTAATTTAATTGAAAATTAAAGTATTTTACAATTTGTCTTTAAAAATTGGAAACAGATACGAATATATTCGATATCCGACCGATATCCAACAGATGCATGTATGATTTTGATTTTTAGTATCCGTTAAGATTCGTATCGGATAATGGTACATCCGATTCGATTAATATCCGTTTACACTCCGTAAAACAACCCTTTTTAAAGAACATTTACGATCTGATATTGTAAGCATACGTAGGGTGTATACTTTATATGAATACTTTGTATGATTGTGAAAAGTACTGAAAATTAAGTATTAGCTTAGCTTTTTTTTTTAGAGTTTTAATGTTGATTTGTATTGCTATAAAATTACTTGGTCTGTTTGGTTGGCAGAAAATATTTTCTCATAAAATTTGAATTAAGTTTCGTGTATTTGGCAACATATATAGTTAGAAAAAATTTTTTAAGAAAAATTTCTCTCTACAAGTAAAAAAGATTTGTGTTTATTTTCAAAAAAATATTTGTACTCACTTTCTCCTCCCGCCCCACCATCCCTCCATGCTCCCTACCCCTCGCCTTGCCCTACTCAACCCCTTAACCACCCTTACCCCTTACCTCCCACCCCTGTCCACCCCCACCGCGCCACCGCTATTAGTTACCCCCTCCTACCCTAGTCC